CAGACGGACGGCTCAATTACTATATGCCCTGGGGGGCATAAAAACAAAAATCATAACAATTTCAAAATAATACAAGATAAGAAAAAAATAATTTAGGGATACTACATGTAAAAAAATATGCTGCACATTAAAATTTTAAATCTTTCGAATTGTAAAATATTTTGTCAAGTAGTTATAATTTCACAACCTGGTTTATCATATTAACTGCTTTATTAAAATGCAATTTCAAAACATATTGGGAAATTCATACCTGATTAAAACCTACATTATCCTATTCATATTTTAAACAAGAATAAACCTGTCAGCAGATAGATTTTAACTTCTTCCTTTATTCAAAGATAATTTCAGATTTCAATAGAACAAGAATGTGTTTCTTAAACACAAATGCCCCCTGCTCAGATTCCTGTCAGTAACTATATTATAAAAATGTTTATCCATTCACACAGGTATTGACAGGTTTAACACAAGTATATAACTTGACAGAGTGAAAAATATAAGTTGGCAAGTCATTGCTTATATAATGACTTGTGGTGAAGTTGAAAATATTCAACTTTATCAAATATATATAAAAGAAGTGACCCCTGGGGCGGGGCCAATTTTGAGCCCATGGCTTTTATTTGAACAAACTAGGTAACACCCATTAGAAGATTTTTTATGTTGAATATCTAAGCTCTAGCTCTTTGGGTTTTTTTAAGGAGATTTTTTTTTAATTTTTACTTATAATATACATATCAGGCAAAGCAATGAACCCCCGAGGCGGGGCAAATTTTGACCCCAGGGCCTTTTAGCTCACCAGAGCCAAAGGCTCAGGGTGAGCTATTAGTATCAAAGGGGGATGCTCCGGCGTCCATAGTCCGTCGTCATGCGTCAACAATCGTCTTCTTCTCTGAAACTACTAAGCAGATTTACTTCAAATTTGGTCTGTAGCATCCTTGTGACAGTCACACTTGAATTTGCTCATGTCATTCCAATTGGCCCCTTGTAGGGGTCAGCAGAGCTAAAAATAGAAAAACCTTTAAACGTCTATTTCTACAGAACTAATTGATGGATGATCACCAAACTTTGTCTGTAGCATTCTTAGGTAGTCTTTTCTCAAATTTGCTAATATTATTTTGAATGGCCCCTTTTAGGGGTCTCTAGGGCTAAAAATAGAAAAACCTTTAATCATCTTCTCCTACAGAACTAATTGATGGATGATCACCAAACTTTGTCTGTAGCATTCTTGCGTAGTGTTTTATCAAGTTTGCTCATATTATTTGATTGGCCCCTTTTAGGGGCCACTAAAGCTTAAAATAGAAATACCATTAAATGACTATTTCTACAGAACTAATTGATGGATGATCACCAAACTTTGTCTGTAGCATTGTTGGGTAGTCTTTTATCAAGTTTGCTAGTATTATTTTGATTGGCCCCTTTTAGGGGTCTCTAAGGGCTAAAAATAGAAAAACCTTTAAACATCTTCTCCTACAGAACTAATTGATGGATGATCACCAAACTTTGTTGGTAGCATTCTCGGGTAATGTTTTATCAAGTTTGCTCATATTAATTTGATTGGCCCCTTTTAGGGGCCTCTAAAGCTAAAAATAGAAATACCGTTAAATGTCTATTTCTAGAGAACTAATTGATGGATGATCACCAATTTTGTCTATAGCATTCTTGGGTAGTCTTTTATCAAGTTTGCTTATATTATTTTGATTGGCCCCTTTTAGGGGCCGCAAAAGCTAAAAATAGAAATACCTTTAAATGTCTATTTCTACAGAACTAATTGATGGATGATCACCAAACTTTGTCTGTAGCATTCTTGGGTAGTCTTTTATCAAGTTTGCTCATATTAATTTGATTGGCCCCTTTTAGGGGCCGCTTAAGCTAAAAATAGAAAAACCTTTAAACATCTTCTCCTACAGAACTAATTTATGGATGATCACCAAACTTTGTAGCATTTTTGGGTAATCTTTTATCAAGTTTGCTCACATTAATTTGATTGGCCCCTTTTAGGGGCCGCTTAAGCTAAAAATAGAAAAAACCTTTAAACATCTCCTACTTCAGAACCAATTGATGGATGATCACCAAACTTTGTCTGTAGCATTCTTGGGTACTCTTTTATCAAGTTTGCTTATATTAATTTGATTAGCCCCTTTTAGGGGCCACTAAAGCTAAAAATAGAAAAAACCTTTGAACATCATTTTCTACTGAAATAATTGATAGATGATCACCAAACTTTGTAGCATTATTAGGTAGTCTTTTATCAAGTTTGCTCATATGAATTTGATTAGCCCCATTTAAGCTAAAGCTTAAATGCCCCAGGTCATGGCATTTCTTAAAATTTCTGTTTAAACATATTCTATGCTCAAATTTAATATTAGAATATATTGACATTCCAACACTGAAAAGCAGTTATTTCTGGTGAGCGACTCAGGGCCATCATGGCTCTCTTGTATTTGAGCAAACTTGGTAGACACTCACTAGAAGCTGTTTCATGTTTAATATCTAAGCTTTAGCTTTTTGGGTCTTATAAAAAGATTTTATAAGGTTTTTTCATGGAATTAAATTCTTTGAACAATTTTTAAAGGTGACCACCAAACGAGCATTCCTGTGAAGTTTGGATGAAATTGGCTTAGTGGTTTATGAGGAGATGTCATTTTAAGTAAAAAGTTTACGGACAGATGGACAGACGCCGGAAAAATTGTGATCACAAAAGCTCACCTTGTAACTTTGTGACAGGTGAGCTAAAAAAAACCAATAAAAATACCCAAAATAACGCAAAACACTGTCTAAGCCTTTACTGATTTTGCTTCTTACTATTTGACCAACACTAGAGATCTTCTCTTACAAAATTCCCTGACTTTTCCCTGACTTTTGCTTACTTTTCAGCTTTCCCTGACCAATTTCAAATTTCTCTGTTTTTTCCCTGACCTTGAAAAAAATATTTTTCCCTGACTTTTCCCTGACAGTGGGAACCCTGAAGAAATCAAAGAACTCACTGAAAATCTTCAGGCTGGAAAATACAGAAAAAATGTTAACATAAACATGAAATCGCTTCACAAGAAACAAATTTATTAGATAGTCATGAACTAGAACTGCTACTGTCATGGCGTGAATACCCCCACATACCACTTTGTCAGAACCAACAGTGGTCATTTAGAGCTCAAGGACAACCTCCCTGCCAAATCTGAGGGTAGTAAGTCTGAGTGCATTGCCATATATGCTTTTAATGTGAAAATGTCAAAATCAATACACTATGGACAGGCATTCTTAAGCATTTGAACAGACAAGATTATTGTAGTAAAAGCCCTGTATTTTTCTTTATTATTTCTTTCCACAACCCACTATTTGAATCGTCAATTATTCTTTTATCCAGTTTGATTTTATTGAGTTCAAAAATATAGGAATGTCGATCATATTTAGACCATCGTTTTTGTTCTCCTGTATTATCACATCCCGTTTGACTTTATCCCTTTTTGAGCTCCATATAAATTCATTGACTTATTCATAGTCTTTCTAGATTTATTTATAATCTGTCTTGAATATTCAAAGTCTATCTTGACTTTTTCATAGTCTATTATAAATCTTCAATGATGATAGTCTATCTTGATGTAGATAAGGTCAATTTCAATCCAAACCATACTCTACATTGACTTATTCATAGTCATCAACGATCATACATTACCACATGAAAACACAGTAAATGTAGTGTTCAACATTATAACCTAATTAAACATTTGAGATCTAATAAAAAGCTATTCAGACAATACTGTGCTTTTATTATGATAACTTTTATATTAAAACTACATGCCTCCAGATGTGTCAAAATATTTCAATAAAATCAAACTTGAGAAAATGTACAAAGATGTAAGAAAAAGTTTCAAGATTCAAGTAATATTTTACATATACAGTAATGTTCGATTTATGATTTACAACAATATTTCTACTGTGTTACTAATGCAATTAAGACCATTTATGCATATTTTGACCATTTTTGGATAATTTACATGGTTAATGTTAGTGCCATTGTTAATGTGTAAATTGATTTCCTTTGGTTACTTCATAATATTACACATTCAAATACAGTTTCAAAATTTTCATGAAAATTAGCATGAATCTGGAGGCATGCTGCTTTAACCCTTTTCCTCATGAGCATATTTTTAAAAATGGCCATTTTATATTGAACAGCCTCCTGTTACAAGTTCAAACTGCTATAAAACTATGAAAAATGCTTCAATTCGAATCAAACTAATTGGCACAAATGTTGATTGGACATTTGCCTTTGTAACAACATGCTCAGTCTTAAATTTCCTGTTACCATGGCAACAAGTGGACATCTTAAAATTGCCAAAAATCACTATTTTTGCGATGATTTTTTCCATCAAAATTGATTTCAAAGTGCTGCAACTTCTCAATGGATTGAGATAGAGTCTAAGGCTTTTCAGCATTGGTTAAACATTACCTTACGATCGACCTGGGGTCACTTTAAGCCTCTCACATGTCCAAAATTATCTTGGCGATCATGGGCGGCACCGTAAAAGTGATCACTTTTTTTAGGCAACATTTCCCAAATGAAAAACAGTGTTAAATGGGGTCTAAATAGGGTAATTTTTCACTGTTTGAAGCCTCAAAAGGGGGGGGGGGAGTTGAAAAGCTGTCAAAACACGTCTATATAAAGTAAAGGGTTAAAACCAATGTAAATTAAAGTTCAGCGATTGCAAATTATAAGATTGATTACACAAGGAAATCGGGCTAAATTAGTTAAAGGGAGAAAATTGACAAAAAATATCAAAATATTACAAAACATGACAATTACAATTCATACATTTTTTTTTTGCATGAAAAATGAATAAAACAAATTAAAACATGCAGCAATTTAGTTAAATCAGTTGTTTAATACTTTGACATTCATTCAGTAGAGATTTACCTTAACAACTGCTATTTATAAATCCATTATAAATAACAAGAAAGATCAAATAGAATTACCAGTTAACTACCGTCTCTACACACAATTTGAATAAGAATAATCAATTTGTCGTGGATAGATCTATACTTCGATCCTCATTTGAACAATTTTAATCAGAATTATATAGAATTTAGTACTGTGTAGTTAATTCATGTTTTCAATAAAATAATCATGGCACAATCCAGGATAGACTTCAGTGCTTCATTTACACAGGACTCTGATGAAGTTCAGGAAATGTTTTGTGAACAATGTGATAAACATGAAAAGAAATATGTTCCTGCTGAAGGATTTTGTGAGGAATGTTTTAAGTTCTTGTGTGGGACTTGTTTGAAGTACCATAAAATATACATGAAATCCCATACCATCAAAGATAAGGATAACATGCCACAGGATTTCTGTCTAGAGAAGTGTTCTGTTCATCAAGATGAATTGCTCAAGTTCTATTGTCAAGCTTGCGAGAAATTTGCCTGTACTGAATGCAAGACACAAGACCATTGGAATTGTAGTATAATGGTCGACCATTTGCCAGCTCTTGTTCCAGGAATTGAAAACAGCCAAGAAATCAAAGAACTTAACGAAAATCTTGATGAGTTAATGAAAGATTTGGACAATACAGAAAAGCATGTGAACATAAACATGAAATATGTTGCTTCACAAGAAACAAAGATATTGGATACAGTCATGAAAAAAAAGAAAGAAATATTGTCAGTGTTTGAAAAGCATCAAAAAGATGTAATTCAAAACTTTGAGAAAAAAGTAGAAGAAACCTTACAAAGACTTGAAGAAGAGAAAAGAGAGAAGATTGACAAATTACAAGAACATCAAAATAAATTAGAAAAGTTATTAAATGATGAGGAAAATGAAATTCAAAAGAAAATTGAAATCATAAAAAAGAATGACAAGAAAGTTTTGCAAACAATCATTGAAGAAACCTCAAAAATGAAAACAAATCTAAACAGCATATCAACAGAGCTGGCTTATCATCAAGGTACAAATCAAAGATGTCAACTGTTTGTTGCTATGAAGAAGGGGCAAAAAATCATTGATCAATTGAAACCAGATGCAGATAAACAATGTAAGAACAATTCAATTCATTATTACAAAGTAGAATGCAAAGCTTTGGAACAAAATATAACCAATTTACAAGACTGTGATAAATTTTTCACCTATCAAGAAATACATGAACCTGAAGTACAAAGCACTGCAAGTTTAGACACAGATATTAAATTCACATGTTACTCATTTTCATCTTTATGCTTATTGTCTGAAAACTGTCTCCTGGTAACTAATTATAATGCTAGTAAGCTAATTATATTCAAGGATTTATCAGTCAGCACTTCATCATATGAAAGAATAGACCTGCCTTCCAACTCTCCAGCTGTTGCTAAAGTTGACAATAACAAAGTTGCTGTTACATGTCCTAGATTTGGAATAGTAAGGCTAATAACATTCTCTAAGTGCATGACAGTGACCAACACTGAAGATATAAAAGTAGGAGGAGGTTGTTGTGGTGTTGCCTATAGTAACAACAAGTTTGTAGTATCTTACACAACCTTTCCAGCAACAGTAAAGATACTTGACATGTCTGGTAAAGTACTGAAAACATTTGATAAAGATCAACATGGGAAGCATCTGTTTAATGATCCTTGTTTCGTCACAGTCAGTGCAGACAACACAGTTATATATGTATCTGACACCGAGAATAACTGTGTGATAGGTTTAAACTTGGATGGGAAAGTCAAGGCCATTTACAAGGATGACCAGTTGAAAAGGCCACATCAACTGACAGCAGATAAGTCTGGGGCAGTGTTTGTGTGTGGACATTTGTCACACAATATACATCAGTTATCATCTGACCTAACCAAAGTGAAGATTCTAGTGGGTGTAACAAGTCCCGCAGGTGTGGCATACTGCAAGACTAAAAACAGGTTGTTTGCGAGTCAATATGCTGATAACATTAAAGTGTATGATTTTTCAATGAAATAAACTATTCTATTTCTTCCACTTCTTGAAACTTAAACTAAAAATGCTTTAGGCCTCTAGCCAATTACATGACAAATAGTGCAACACATAGAATTAACATAATTGGTTCATTATTTATAAAGTACCTAAAATTCCTAAAAATCGCTAAACATTTTCCAGAAGGGCTATTATACCAACACATTTTTTGCTAAATTCAGAAATCATTGTAAATTTGTGACATTCAGTGTTAGCAAGTGTTGGTAATAACATTAAAAAGTGTTAAGGTTTTAAAGTTCATACGATACATTTTTGTGTTTACAATAAAATAAAATGGATTCTGAAGGACTTGAATAATATTATGGATTTACCCATGTGTTCATTACTTATGAGTAGATTTTTCCATATCAAAAAGCCTGTGGGGCCTTTATTAGGGGAGGGGCGTTTATTAGAAGTTTTACAGTATAAATGATTTAGCACACTGATAACATATAATTGAAAAAATGAATAATGGCTCAATTCAAATGTTATAAAGCTTTATAATTCTAAAAAGGTGTCCATTACTATCCTATAACAAAACAAAATATAAAGGGAATTTTATATACGTTTTGATTTATTATAGTATGAAATAGCTCTACATTCATTTGTAAGAATGTGGGCTGTAATTTGTTTTGCTTATATTTAAAGTTAATTTGAAATTAAATAACACTAGATAATGTGTAGTTTTATCAGCATATCAAATCAATAAAAGTTATGAACCTATAATTATTGTTGGAATGTGGTCTTTGTTTGGTTTTACGGCGCACCAATAATAATAATAATAATAATAATAATAAAGACTTTATTTAAAGAGGCAACATAGTTGGGCATACCCAGTCTTCCCTATAAGCCTCAACACAATTTAGGTCATATGACTCCAAAACAGGAAAGATTATCAAGGCTAACCTTGAGTATTACAAATGTTAAAGCAACACCAGGGGTCAAAACCATCTCACTTGCTTGAGCTAAGAGATGCTTAGACTCCAGTAATTAATACAGGCCATTAATACCCCCACCAGCAACTTTGACTTTTTGAAAAATAAGTGGTCTGAAGAAAAATTTGAACTCGACCTATATTAAATAAAGTATCATCTGTGTACAAAGAATTATTATACCCCCAAAAACGAAGTTTGGGGGGGTATATAGGAGTCACCCTGTGGTCGGTCGGTCGGTCGGGCGGTCGGTCGGTCCAGACGTCCGTTGCATTTTCCTTGTCCGGAGCATAACTTGAAAACTAATGGTTGGAATTCAATATAACTACATACAATGGTCAAGCACATTGAGAGGAAGTGCAGTACACAAGAACCATAACTCTATCTTGACTAGTTACAGAGTTATTGCCCTTTGTTACTTTTCCTTGTCCGGGGCATAACTTGAAAACTACTGGTTGGAATTCAAAACAACTTCATACAATTGTCAAACACAATAAGGGGAAGTGCAGTGCACAAGAACCATAACTCTATCTAAAGTAATTACAGAGTTATTGCCCTTTGTTGCTTTTCCAATGCTTTTTTTTTTGTCCGTTGCATTTTCCTTGTCCGGAGCATAACTTGAAGACTAATGGTTGGAATTCAATATAACTACATACAATGGTCAAGCACATTGAGAGGAAGTGCAGTGCGTAAGAAACATAACTCTATCTTGACTAATTACAGAGTTATTGCCCTTTGTTACTTTTCCTTGTCCGTGGCATAACTTGAAAACTACTGGTTGGAATTCAAAACAACTTCATACAATTGTCAAACACAATAAGGGAAGTGCAGTGCCACAAGAACCATAACTCTATCTAAAAGTAATTACAGAGTTATTGCCCTTTGTTGCTTTTCAATTGCCTTCTTTGTTTGTCCGGAGCATAACTTGAAGACTAATGGTTGGAATTCAATATAACTACATACAATGGCCAAGCACATTGAGAGGAAGTGCAGTGCATAAGAACCATAACTCTATCTAAAGTTATTACAGAGTTATTGCCCTTTATTACTTTTCCATTGCTTTCTTTTGTCGGGACCATAACTTGAAGACTTATTGTTGGTATTCATTATAACTTCATACAATGGTCCAGCACATTGAGAGGAAGTGCAGTGCACAAGAACCATAACTCCATTTTGACTTATTACAGAGTTACTGCCCTTTGTTTCTTTTCCTTGTCCAGAGCATGACTTTAAAACTACTCAGGGTTGGAATTCAAAACAACTTCATACAATGGTTCAAGCACAATAAGGGGAAGTGCAGTGCACAAGAACCATAACTCCATCTTTTACTAATTACAGAGTTATTGCCATTTGTTACTTTTCCATTGCTTTTCTTTTGTCCGGACCATAACTTGAAGACTTATTGTTGGAATTCATTATTAACTTCATACAATGGTCAAGCACATTGAGAGGAAGTGCAGTGCATAAGAACCATAACTCCATCTTGACTTATTACAGAGTTACTGCCCTTTGTTACTTTTCCTTGTCCAGAGCATGACTTGAAAACTACTGGTTGGAATTCAAAAACAACTTTCATACAATGGTCAAGCACAATAAGGGGAAGTGCAGTGCACAAGAACCATAACTCCATCTTGACTAATTACAGAGTTACTGCCCTTTTGTTACTTTTCCTTGTCCAGAGCATAACTTGAAAACTACTGTTTGGAATTCAGTACAACTTCATACAGTTTGTCAAGGACATTCAAAGGAAGTGCAGTGCACAAGAGCCATAACTCCATTTTGACAAAATACAGAGTTACTGCCCTTTGATACTTTTTCCTTGTCCGGAGCATAACTTTAAACGTACTGGTTGGAATTCAAAACAACTTCATACAATGGTCAAGCACAATAAGAGGAAGTGCAGTGCACAAGAACTATAACTCTATCTTCAGTATTTATAGAGTTATGCCCTTTGTTCTTTTTTCTTTGTCTTTCTGGACTTATTACAGAGTAATTCAATTAAACTTCATCAATGGCCAACCACATTGAAAGGAAATGCAACTTACATGAACCACAATTATCTTTAATTGCCCACAACCATAACTCTATGTTTCAATTCTTTTACAAGGTATTCTGTTACTAGTAACATCCTCATTTCCGAAGCAGACTTGTGGGGGTATTAATCACATTTAGTGATAGTTCTAGTTTCAATTAATTGCAATCCCAACCAGTATCTTCATATAAACTTGCTATTAACTAAGTGTGATTACAATATCTCATTTCTAACTCTAGTAATTGTCCAGAAACCATTTTTCTATTTATAGTAATGGTGACCTTAACCCCAGGGTTAAGGTCATACCAACCAAAGGCATACCAAACGGGGTCTTCATATAAGCTTGCTATACACCATATTTGATTACAATATTTCAATCCTAACTAGTTTATTTGTCTGGAAATCATTTCTCTATTTTTAGTAATGGTGACCTTGACCTTGAAGGAGACTGACCGACGGCAACCGACCAACTGAACGACAAGCTGACTCCTATTTACCCGCCCCCCCCCACCCTTCCTAAACTTCGTTTGTGGGGGTATGAATATGATTTTTATACCATAAATACAACAGTATGATGGACGTTTAGAATCATCTGTACAAACTGGCAGTGAAATAACAATATTCATTAAAGGTGGTAATACCTTTATCATATGTTTGTTTAATTGGGTTTTACATTACACCAACACAGTTATTACTTAGTAGGTCATTATATGGCGACATTCCAGCTTTACTGGTGGAGGATTATTTTAGGCACGAATGGGCACCTGAGAAGAACCACGGACCTTCCTTAAGCTAGCTGGATAGCTTCCTCACATGAAAGAATCCAAAGTCCCTGTCCGGATTCAAACCCACAGCTAAGAGGGGCGAGTGGTTTGAAGTCAACAACCTTAACCACTCGGCCAAGGACGCCCCCCAAACATGTGTATTAATAAACAATAATTACTAAAAAGTGTTGAATAATATTTCAAGAAATATTTTTGAACATAAAAAATATAATTGCATCATCATGTGAAATTTACACTGCTAGTTAGATGACAAGCCAGAATGCTATCAAATAGTAACAAGAGGTCCCAGAGGGCCCTGGATCGCTCACCTGAGAAATGGCACAATTTGAAAACAAGGGACAGCTTAATCTGAACAATTTTTGTGTACTGTCACCAAGGAAATTTTTGTGTAAAATTATTTCAAATATGGACAAGTGGTTTAGATGTTGTTGTTTTCACTCTGGCAGCCTTTTTATTAAACAGTTCAGCCTTTCACTAAGTGAGAGGTGAGCTAATAAAAAGATGACAGAAAGAGTAGGAAAACAAACATTGACCAGGCTGGGGATTGAACGGTCGACCTTGGGCCAATTTTGACCCTAGGGGTTTTATTTCAATAAATATAGAACATGTGTCATGCCAAATATCCAAGCTCTACCTCTTTTGAATTTTCACAAGATGACTTTTTAAAATTTTACTATGTATATATAAGGAAAATCAATGACCCCTAGGGAGGGGCCAATTTTGACCTTAGGGCTTTTATTTGAACAAATTTGGTAGACATCAACTAGAAGATATTTCATGCCAAATATCTAAACTCTAGCTCTTTTGGATTTTCACAAGATTTTGATTAGTTTTTACTATATACATATAAGGAAAATCAATGACCCCCTGGGGCGGGCCAATTTTGACCCAAGGGTTTTATTTGAACAAACATGGTAGACATCCACTAAAACATGTTTCATGCCAAATATCTAAACTCGAGCTCTTTTGGATTTTCACAATTTTTACTATATACATATAAGGAAATTCAATGACCCCTGCGGCAGGGCCAATTTTGACCCTGGGGCATTTATATGAACAAACTTGGACACTCACTAGAAGATATTTCATGCTGAATATCTCAGCTCTACCTCTTTTGGATTTTCACAAGTTGATCTTTGAAGTTTTATCTATATACATATCAGGTAAATCAATGACCCCTGGGGTGGGGCAAATTTTGACCCCAGGGCTTTTATTTGAACAAACTTGGTAGACACACACTAGAAGATGTTTCATGCTTTGTATCTAAACTCTAGCTCTTGGTTTTTTAAAAGAACATATTTTAAGTTTTTACTATACAAATATAAGGAAAACCAATGACACATCCCCCCCCCCATATTTTGACCCCAGGGCTTTTATTT